GTGTGCTCTTCCGATACTGTTAAAAAATGTAAGAGAGTAAAACAATTTTTCTTTCTCTCTCTCTAAAAGTGGAGAGGGGCCTGTTGAAGCGGGGAGTTTAATATTATACATTATTGTAATTGAAAGTTGTATTTTAAAGAAGTATTTTGTATTTCAAATACAAACTTAAAAGTATTTTGTATTTTGTATTTCAAATCGAAAGATTGAAAGTATTTTGTATTTTGTATTTCAAATCAAAAGATTGAAAGTATTTTATATTTTGTAATTCAAATACTGAGATTCCTAGTATTTTGTATTTTAAATACTTTAATGGTGTATTTTGCCCAGCCCTGACTATACGGTATTCTCTCTCTGTGTGTAACGTTTCCACGTTTATTCAATCTGTGTGTTCGCCGTGTCGAAATCTCGCTACGATGATCCATTTTTCCGTACAATGGCATATCAGCGATCGAGACCTATATATCCACGCTGCATTTAGCCGTGCAGCAGGATGTAGGCTGCCGCTTTAGATCGGACCGACCCTCTCTTCTCTCTCCTCTATGAATATTTTTTACGAAAATGCAATTTACAGAGTGGGCAGAGCCGATTCCAGCCTCAGAAGTTCATCCACCGTGCAGCCGAGGTGCTATTGTTCGAGAGAGCCGACCGAGTTGGAGACCGAGGGGAAGAGCGGTACGCGAGGAGATGGCGGGGAAAGAAGGAAGGATGGGGCATCGGGAGAGTGATATGTATATGCGCGTATTGTACGTACGCGAAGAAAAGTGTGCCTTTCCCTCGCGAGTTCAGACAGTTCTTACGCACTTCCACCGCGCGCGCGCGCGCACGTCTATTTAATTTCAATCGGCTGCCAATCTTTCCCCGATCTATCCCACCTCGCGGCGATCCGAAAGGTCATCCCACCGCGGCTCGGCACGGCTTATTACGTTTTATTAGCCCAATAAGATTTATGGAGATGCTGGACTCACAATTAGACGTTTTTACATCTGAACACGATTTTGTTAAGCACAATCGATATCGCCCTTGCGAAAATTTTAATTTCTGTCCAAATATGTAATTGTCGAGTCAACTCGTGCAAGGACCGAAGTTTCTCGGGGGAGAAACAAAACGGCGTGAAACGACGACTATGGTATACCTGCACGGCTAATAATTTTCAATCGGCTCACCGTCCCTTAAATCGACCAACGAGGTCGACGTTATCGGCCCTTCCGCGGCGAGCACCATTATAGTGAGATATTGTACACGCTGATCCGTCGTTTAAGGGCCGCGAACGGAAGGCGATTCGGTATTTTACGAGAAGACGCGAGCGCGGTATTCTCCTCCTCTCGCGAAGGAGAATATACAGAGTGTCTTTTCCGTTCTTCGATCGTGGCTTCTTCAACCGATTTAGAATAGCATTATATTAACAAAAATTTCGATTACCGTAGATTCTCTTACAATTAGTGTTTAATGATGACTCCTAATAATATTCTCGTATTAGATTTCTGCCAAGAATAGAACGTTCACAAAAAATGAACCAAGAAAGCTAAATTTCGCGTTCACTGTTTATGTCTCCATCCAAGATTTACTCGAGTCGAGTTACTTTAATTTTCGACACCGAATAATAATAATACCGTTTGGCGCTGCCACAGCATTTCGAAACAGCCGCCTGTTGTCGCCTCGTGCATTTTTGCCTAGCGATCTCTGTTTCTCGAAGAGACATCCCGTATATACGCATGTCGCCCGTAGGGGTAGGAGGGAAAGTAATCGGAGGCACTAAACCACGATACCGCGTTGGCAGTTTAGAATCCTGTATCTCCCGGCGCTGTCGCCGGTGGTACAACACACGCCCGGTATTATTTGCGGGCTGCCACATTTGTCGTAGGTGGTCCCCGCGACACGGCGCAGTGGCGTCGCGCGCGGCGTTTATACACCGTATATACATAAGAGCGACAGCGCGGTATATCGTCTCCCGTGGGTCTCTCGCTCCTCTCCGCACTCAAGTCAGCCGATCTCGCGGATAAAACCACCTCGCGCGATAAACCATCGCCGCCGTCGCCGCCGTTCCGCTAATTAACGACGGAATTAACGACGTCCCGCGAGAATCATGCACGACTCACGAGAGATGGTACGATGATGACGACGCGCGATCGGCCAGGATGTGACGATGACGGCCGCGCCGCGGCGATTCGGGCGCGCGCGAACGCGTTAATTTCTAACGTTGACAGACGCGCGAGATCCCGAGGGCGGGCTAACGATCGAACGATTAATAAAGATGCGCGAGCACGCGTGTCACCGGATATAAGGTGCCCACACGGCCCCCATCGGCGTATATCGTGCGTTGCGTGCCCCGACAGCGACGACGCGATCGACGCGATCGAACGCTGACTCGCGCCGTACGTACACACGTGTACGTGTACACGTATGCGCACGTGTGCGCGTATACGTGTACGCATGTACAAGTGTACGAACCCGCGTGTGCGCACGCCGACGCAAAACACGCTCGCACGCGCGCGCTCGGCTCCGCTGCACGCGTGTGTTCCGCGCGCGGATGGACGGGCTAACGGACGTACGCATGTACGTATGGATAGACGGGATGGACGGGACGGATCGACACACAGCACGCGCATGAATATGTAGGATGTCTGGGGAGAAAAAAAAGAAGACGGAGGGAAAGAGTGGGGGCGGCGAAAGACCCGGCGTGCATAGTAATCGGAGCCGCGTCATGCCAATAACATCGCGCCGATCGCCTAATGTCTGATCGATAAACCCGACGGAGTTTTCCTTACTCCGCGCCGATAAACGGCGCGGAGAGGGAGAGAAACGTGGGGAGAGCGGAGAGGGTAGATTGGTGATTTACGGGTTTGCTCGTCGGCGCGTAGACGAGAGAGAGAGAGAGAGAGAGACGGAGAGACAAAGAAAGTATTGGCAAGGTAGAAAAAGAAAAAAGACGCAATCTCAAGGAGGGGGAGAAGAGGAGGGAGGAGAGCACGTGTGCACGCACGCAGCACACGCGCGCGCGAGTGTAAACACACTATGCCTCGCGCTGGAAATGGGCAACGGGTGAGGTAGAGGCAGGTAGGTGGAGAAGTTTACAATTTTCTGCACGACGACCGCTCGATCGTTCAAATGCCAATAACGTTGCGGATGCCAATTGCCGATAATTCAAGGTGTACCTGCCCACGATAACGTGTAAAAAGAGAGAAAGAAAGAGAGAGGGAGAGAAAGAGAGCGCCGATCGGCGCTGACAGATCGTTAGGTACCGGATGATGGGTTCGCGGGTATTTTAACACCGGGGAGACATGCCAAGGATAACGAAGAAAAAGAAAGAGAGAGAAACGGAAGAACCGCAAGACCGCGTCCGCAAAGCTTTCTGGCTTTCGTGAAATCGACGATTCGCGCATCGAATCATCGGAACGATCGCGTTACCGACGCGTCACGTCCTTCGAACGTCTGCATCACGTCCGTTTGGAGGGACGTTGTGTTGGGCAATAACGTAACGCGTCACAGTCAGATTCGTGAAGAGGACTCGAGGACGCGGAGTGACGCGCGACGCGATAAGAGAACGATTTCTCTATCTCGGATCGCGCGCAGGTGATTCACGACACGAACGAAATTCGAGACCGCCGAATTACATTTGACGGTGCTCGACCTCGCGATCTCAAAACCGCGCGTTTTGGCGAAAAAAGACGACCGTGTTAAGTAACGAGCAACGAATTTTTTTTTCCCCCTCATTCGGTTGTGATCCTCGTCGGGAGCTCTCACCTTTCTCCTCGTCTCTCATTGAAGATCCAGCTTCGGCTCTAACGCGTAATTGAATTAATTCCACATTTTCGCCCGACGCCCGCAATTAATTTAATGATAACCGCGCCACGCCGCATGGAAGATTTTTTTTCCTGCTTTCTTATTCCCAGAGTCGGTTTCCCGGCGGAAAAGCCTTTTTCCCGCGAACAGAGCCAACATTGTGTTTTCGCGTATGTGTTATTTTTATAAAAGACAAGACCGTAATCTTGTACCTCGGCCTCTGCCGCATCCGGCGATAGACAATTTTCCTATAACGAGGTAACCTCGATGCGCCTTAATTGCATTTTAAAAGATACAATGTTTTTTTAATAAATTGCTCGATCTATTTAACATAGAAAACTGAATGTATCAGTGTTTCTATTAAAAGCATTGAGGATTTCTAAAGCTGCAAATCATGAGAACCTTGTTGAGAAACTAATAGCGTTTATTCTTTTTTACGACTTACTTATTAATACGTCGCAATTGAGGAAACTTCTCGGGCAATTAACATATGCAAATAAAAAAGTTTCCAAAGGCCAATTAATTTTTTTTCCATTTATTCTTTTACTTCACACTCGCGTTCGATGCATTTCGTCTCACACGAATCCAATTTCGTTAAGGTACCTTTTCATATTGACGCTCGACGCTCATTTTTAGCATAAAAAAAAAACAGATCACATGATCAAAATTAACGAATATCAAACATTAAAGATGCCTTTTCATGCTAACTCTCAACGCTCATTTTTGGCGTCAAAATTACGTGATTATAGTTGGCTTGCACGAAAAGCGGCAATATCAAGTTTAACATCAATCGTAGTATATCATTCGTATCTAAAATGTTCAGAACAAAACAGCAACAACCTTTGACGCTGAAGCTGAGAAAACCCAGCTTCTTTTTTTGACGCTAGTGTCAAAGTCAGTCACGTGATTACCAAAAATCCAACATGTTGATTTCTTTACTGCTTACATCTTACTGCTTAAGTTTTTCTATGTGCCATGGCTCTAACGCTAAAACGAGCGTCTCATGAATTTGCACCTTTAATTTCGATCGTGTGAACTGTTTTGACGCTAAAAATGAGCATGGCTCTAACGCTAAAACGAGCGTCAACATGATATCTTTAAAAGGTTAATTAATGAACATTGTTGCGAGCTACAAACATCCTGAGATCGCTCTAGGGACGAAGAGGAGAAAAGGGAGAAATATTTCATGCGCACTTACCGAGCATCTTGCTGAGATCGGCATTGTGGAGATCGGGATTCTCATCGGCCAATTTCTTGCGCTCGACCTTTGCCCAGACCATGAACGCGTTCATCGGGCGACGTATCCGTTGCTCCTTGAGACTCCTCTGGGCGGTGCCGCCGCCGCCGGGATGGCACATCTTCACTCCCGCGGGAATCGGTGAGATGCCTGGCTGGTATTCCAGCGACGGGCCGGAGGCCAGCCAGGGCATGTCCTCGAGCCGCTGTTGCACCGGGCCGGTCAGCATGCTCGGTATCTGGTTTCAGGAAACGTCGCATTCCGTGAGACATATCCTCGTGAACGCGTCCGACATTTATTTACCCGGCTAACACACGTGTGTTAAGAGCGTGAACATTATCTCTCGCTCTATACACGCCAGTTCTACATATACGTGACGCGACGCAACCACGAAACGAGAACGAGAAGTACGTCTTGTATTGAAATATGAAGATGTCGAATACGGTAAATTTATATTTGGCGAATGGCGCTGACAACGGTATCGTTAAGAGGCGATGACTAACGACAAGGCTAACGACGAACCGAGATTTAAATGTGAGTCGATCGTACGGATTTTGCTATTGTTTCCTCCGGCTGCCATTGTTCCACGTGACTTTGTACTCGTGCGTTTCGTTGTATCGAATAGTTGTACGCGCGCGCTTTACGTAGGTGTGTTTACAACGGCCCGGCGCGAAAGTATACGCGGCATGTGCAACTGGCGGAAGCACGCGGATTCTATTTCGAGAACGCGACAGACTTATACAAGTATACACTGTACCGCGGAATCCGAAATCGGATCGAAACACCGTACCGAGATGATTTGGGTGTCGATGGGCATCGAGCTGTCGTTGCCGTCGATACCGGAGTCGATGTCGTAGGCCCGCGACGTTGGAGTCGCGTAAAGCGAGGAATGGAGCGCCAAGAGCCCGGGGGAGCCGCCGTAGCCACTCACCGCCGGTGGTGGTGTCACCTCACCCCTGTCATAATTGTCCAGCATCCTGCAAAAACCGAAAGAGAATGCGTCCAGTTGTATTCTATATACGTTTTTCTTCGATCGAATAATCAATTTACTTTGTGCACGTCTATTGTTTGGTCACCGCAAAAATATGAGCAGTCTTCTGTTTATATAATGCATTATAGTTTACACAGTTTATTATTGTGTGTTTAAATACAATATATAATTATTATACTCTCTAAATCTGATAATCAGTGCATAGTCACTGATTATCAATGATTTATTGAATCATCAGTCCCAACCATAGTGAAGTAATTAGTGAAATACAACTTCGTCGACTCTCGAAAATCTCTAATAAATAATTGTATAATTGTCATAATCATTGACAAATTAATGGACTTCACTGTTCTCGCTAATTGTACAACAAATTCGGCTTTGTTTCACTTATTTATTAACAATGCAAGGCGTTGAGTGAAGTTAAGTTGTAGCTCCTGACCACAGATTTCTATATACCATAGATCGCTAGCTCCGAGAAATGAAGCGAAACCAAATAACTCAGGAGAGAGGGTGATCCATCCAAACCATCTTTACCCAATAATGGATTATATTCCAAAACGTCAAACTTTAATCAATATATTATTAAATGTACACTAACACTACTTCATAAAGCACTGTATGTGATTACCGGATAAATATGGCGTCTGACTTCAACACAACTGATAACAAACTATATCGCATGTTAGCATGTTATCTATTCTATAGAAATCTGTGCTACTGACTCAATTTGGTGACTTTTCAGCGATTTTTCACTAATTCAGACTTAAAGAGTACTGTTTTTTTCGTCGTAATGTTATATTTTCCTTGATGTTCTTTGTACGATGCTACGCCGTTCTACGAACGGAGTATATATATTTCCTCAGGACAGATAAAGTACAACTGTTATTGCACCACTTTACCAAATTTACATAATCGAGATTTGTCGGAGATTATGTTACCCGACGATCGTCCGTTACATTTGGGATGTATCCGCGGTATTGCTGCAATCTTCACGGACGCGATTCTCGACGTATCAAGTCAAATTGAATGTCATAACGGGCACCAGGTATATTCGATCCAATAGCGCCCGATCGGGTAATCGTTTATTGATCGCCCGACGCGCGCGAAAAGACGCGACGGTTGTACGCGATTCGCGTGCGTGCGAGTGCAATCAAATGCAATCGCGATTCGCCGAGGAATAAACCGTGATAAGCCGGCGACGCGAGCGGCTGGAAGTCCCGATCGATTCAAATCGGCACTAACATTCCCCATCGACGATGACTCTTCGCGTTCCTCCGACGATCCGCGGTATCACCGGGCTGCGCCCAGTAGTAATTGACTCCGGCGTTTCTCTCGATCTCGCGAACGAGCGAATGAAATCTCCCCCGTGGGTCGGTCGCTCTCCGTGTCCGCGCGGCCGATTGATCTGTCAACCGTTCCGTTAGGAAAAGAGTTGATCGACATGAATGAACCATTCAAGGCCACTTAATGGAATTCCCACGATTGTCCTTAAGGCATTATGCGACCGTGCGCCGGGTATATAATAGTACGAACAGCTGTCTGTCGCGCGCGCAAACACACATTTTCGCAGCTACACACACACACACATGTGATGTCCTAGGCAAACCGCGCTGCGCGACATACGTAATGCACACGTACGATATTCCGCGAATGTGTGCACGCGATACGGTGCGCGCGAGTGTTCCATATAATGGCTATTGTTTCATTCGACGTTCGGTGAGATGCTGCGACGTCGGTCAAAAACAAAAAGAAAAAAAGAAACGTACACCGGCATTTTCATTCAATAAACCTCGCGCCGGTTAGGTGCGCGCGTTTTTATCACCCTTTATATCGGTAGGGAGAAACACGTAGTCTAAGAAAGAAAGAGAGAGAAAGAGAAAGAGTCACGTTCCGTCGCTGATAAAACCGACGGCTCGCTTCGACGTATCGAAGTATATCGTATCGGATACGGTCCGATACGAAATCACAGCTTACCGAAAGAGAACACTGTTTCACGTCGCGTTTAAAGAAATTGAGATTTATGGGCGTTTTAGAAAATTTTTCGAGGTTTTTACAGATGGGACTTGAGCCGGCCTCTTGAGGCTAAATTGCGTGTAGGCGTAGATTTGATGATAATTAAAAAAAAATAACAAGATAAGCTCACGTGTGGAACGATCTTCGCCTTGCTTCCGCGTCATATAAGCGAGCTTCGTGTTTCAGCGATATTTCTCGGATGGACGATTTCCTAACAAACGAGCAAGTCTCGCAGAGATCTCATTACCCGCGCATGAACCCGTTGGGATTTTTACGTGCAGGATCGTTTGAAATCTATTGTCTACGGAACACGTTTATTGACAACATACTCGCTGTCCGATCGAGCACGCTTTCCAGCAGATCCAAGTAACACCTGGATGTGACAAAAGGATAACAAGATCAAGACGATTACAAGCTTGAAAATTACAAGCTTGAAATACGATAGGTCGTTATGTTGCGAATCTGCCACGGAGATAAATAAGCAGGATGAGAAACAGAAAACGAAAAGCTGCTCATATAGCAAAATGAGGCGAAATCGGACATATCTTTAGACTTACTTCATTGTTTTTAAATGCCGAATCTCTGACGATTATGTTACATTACTTTAGTATAATCCAAGGTTTTCAATTCGATAGACAAAAGAAGATAAGAAAATGTGCGCCCTCGATAATAGCGGAACCTCTTTCGTTTACCGGTATTTCTCGCAAAAAGATCATACGGCGATGGCAGAGATACGATACGAAATTAAAAGCCATTAAGAGCCGCGGTCAGGATTCCCCCGGGTTTCGTCGGCGTCGGCGCAGCTGCACCACCCACGCGTATGATAGATACGCCACTGCCTTCAGCATTGTTTCTTTAATGATTCATGTCCGAGGGGTGACTGCACCAGGAGTAGAGGAAGCAGTCTCCAACCGCGAATGCAATGAGCCGCGCATCGTTTCGAAAATATTAATTCGCCAGGAGTCATCGCCGGACGCTGATGCATCGATCATACGGCGCGCGGCGTCGTCGCGCGCGTTAGCGCCGCGTCCTTTGTCAAAACTTTGCGCTCGGCGTCGCCGCGACTTTCGCTTCGCGGAAAAGCCTGCTCGTATCAACTACACTGAGAGAAAAGATATACTACAATTTAACAAAAACAGAGAATTATTCACAAAAGTCAAGTTTTATTCTAAAATTTTGTTAAAATAGCAAAATATATAATTAAATAAGCAAAATTTGGTATAATTTTTGATTTAACAACACAATTTTATTTGGTTAGGTTTTATTTGGTTGGTTGTACTCACATTTTGTACACAGTAATATAAAATTGGGTTGCAATAGGAAGAGCACACGTC